GGAAGGAGAGAGCAGTGGTGTTCTTGAGGATACTCATTACACATAACTCCGGTAATGGTAGCCGCAGTGCATATTTGCTGCCCACGCTCCTCAAGGTTCACTCTTGTGTGTCCCAGATGGTACAAGATCTTTGAACTTCTCCTGTGCCTGCTATCATATTTAAAGTTGTTGGCATTATCAGATGGTGTGTCCCCAACCTGATTGCGAACTTTGGACAACAGGCATTGGAACATTTGTTGGTTTAAGTTGACAAGATCTTATTTTACTAAACAGCCATCTGATTACCAGAAGAGATGTAAATATTACACATCCTACCTTGGATTAAAGAGGAAGGCAATTAAGATCAGGAAAGCTTACAAGGTTGTGCGCTAGTTGGAAAAGCTTATGTACCACGAGTGCAATTTGACGGATGTTGGATTATCAAATCTACTTGCAAGAGTGCAAAGCTGGTTTGAGCCAATTATGTACGTTCATTATGTCTTTGAAGTATTTGCAATTCTATTTTATATGTGCTGCAGAAAGTGTTTAGGTATTTCTGCTGAACATATAATCACCCATAGCGTGTAAAGATGTTGTGGATGGAAGATCTTCTTGTCTTTTGAGGTAATCAGGATTATCTGTGTCTGGAGATTAATTTATTTGCAGCTCCATTAACCTGTTTCCGCACCCTTTTCCATTCTTATTGCTGTGCTAAAGTGTTTCTTGGTTTTGGGGTCAAGGACAGAAAAAGGGGAAAAATAAGACCGGGAAAAAAAATCATAGCTAGTTTAACTGCTGATACATTAGCTCCTTGGTATGTGTGACAGGTTTTCATTAAGGATATTAAGGAGTGAGGCAGCGAGGACAATCAGTTTTAATGCGAAACTCCAGCTGTTTTTAAAAGGACAACTCTGGAGAATCGGGATGGTTTGTTGTACCATTCAGAAGATAAATAAGATAATCATCGTTCCTCAAGATATCTATCCATGCTGTCAAAAAAAGAGGCTGCTTCTAAGAAGTTTTGGAATCTGTAATCCGATAGTTTGCCTACATTCCTAGTCTCGCCCTCCTCAGACATCGGTCTTAAACCGACAATGCTGCTGAAGGTTTATAGTCACACATTTTTAATGGTCCCTGAACTTGGGAACGTTTGGACCTCTTCCAGGAAACAAGTGCCACGTGCTTTATTCATTTTTAATAGTAACAAATCTTTTTATATCGTAAATTGGTGAACTAAATAACAGATTAATATGTTAGCTGATCAATAATCAAGCTTGTAGAATGAGCTGCATGGATTAGTATCTTGTTGAAGGTAGTTCGCGGTTGGAGGAACACTAGCGTGAAGACGAAGTATGTGTTTTGGTGGAATCATTTTTACCATCCACCTCCCCTCCCTCGTATTAATAGTATAGTAGATATTCCCTCTGTCTCATTTTGATAATTTTAATTTTTTTTTTCATACAGTTTTAAAAAAAGTAATTAACTTTATTGAAAAGATAAATTTAGATTGTTATTTTTTTAAAATACTCTTACATTAAATACAGTTGGTTTTTCATATATCAATATGTTTTAGAGAATCTAAATGTATTAAATGAGGTGTGTTATATGCAATACTAACAATCTATATTAAATAAGGTAGTTTATAGTAATAACAACTTACATTAAATAATGAGTATTTTAGAGAAATTAAATGATAACTACATTATTCAATTAGATAGTGGACTATAATTTGGAACAGACGAAAAAGAAAAATAGAATTATCAAAAGTGGAACGGAAGGAGTATCAAACTACAACCAATCGTGCCGCAGTGGCAAATTTGAAGAGGCCTGATGTAACCGTCGTGCATGGATTTTTTTTTGTTTCCTTTTTTTGGTTTTATTTGATTCCGATAAAGAGTAATAATTCCTTTGTGATGAAAGACGATTAATGTCTGTGTTTTGCAAGCAAAGGGTTGGTTAGCTTGTCACTCGACACACATATGGTCTACTGTTGATGTCTCATTTGTCGTGGTTCGATTTTGACGATTTGCAAGCCCGGCCCGCCCAGCCCTGATGTTATAATATTGAGTTGCAGTTATATAATAATGTTTAGATGGATGGATTTGGAATGGACTTTTTCCTTGGGAAATTGGACCTATCCAATTTGTTTGCTTGTTATTTATTTTTTTTTTTTTTGCCAATTACGCAGAGAGCTGGAGGCAAGGGAAAAGGAACTCCGGCAATCTGTTTTTCCTTTCCCGTTATTATTAATGCCAAAAGAAAACTTGTAATTAAACTTGTATTATTTGACACGGTCAATTGGATTTGAATAGCATCTATCAAGGGGCCGGGGTCCAGAACCATAGTGTAAGTTGAGTGTGGTTGGCGTTCTGGCTTCATCTCCGGCAAATGTTCCACTGACTAGCAACTGGTGTGGGCGTCATTATTGGTCAATTGGGTTTCATGAGTCGGGGGATTTTGTAAGCTCAAATTCGACTCAAAAAATAAATGAAACTTTTAGGGTTCGAGCCTAGGTTAGAAGGCTCAAATTTGGCTTATCATATACTATGAGTTTTGGACTCAACTCACGTTGGATTCGGTTCAAACTCATAATTAACTTCATGATTATGTAAAGTATATTAATATTTATAAATTATTATAGATTTGAATATAAGTTATTAATATGTTATGGTATGTATAATTATACATATGAATGGATCAATTCTTAATTAGATTTGAGCCCAAACTCAATTCATATTTAATTCAAATCTATTATTTAGTCTCAAACTCTGCCCAATCCTATGAAATATAAGAGTCATCGAGCTGTTTTATGGACCGGACGAAACAGACTCGAGTTAACTCGACCGCACTGACGGCTCTAGATGGCATTAGTTTCTTACGAAAGGCCAAGGCAAAGGCTAGAAACAAAGCTACGCACAGGGGAGTGAGCTCTTCGTTAGCCTAATGGTCATTGATTTAAAGCAACACGACGTTATCCACCACGAGATGCCATTTGCCATTGTTTTAAGAATACCGTAGTACTCTGTACATACGGTATATATTAGCGAGGGATGGCCGCGTTTGACGCGATCATTTGGGATATTTTTACTGTAACACTTTTTGTGATGTGATGTATGTGAGATAAAAAAGTAATTGACAAGATGTATTGAAAATTGTAATGATGATGTAAGCAAATAAAATTGAAGAAATAATACTCAATCCAAACAAACCTATTGTCCATTAATGTTGGTAAAATTTATTCTTGAAAAATAGGGGCTTGTTTAGCACTCATTTTCCTTCATTTTTATTGGATGAGTTTTTTTTTTTTTTCTTAACAATGTACAAGAACTCTCAAAAAACACACCAAGTTTTTAAATTCATATTTCAAAACATCCAACACGCACCCCAATCCCTCTTTTACCACCATCATCCCTAACCATTTCTACTTATACCATCGTCACACCCACCCCAGCCCAATACCATCGCCAGCACTAGTTACCCTCTACCTTTTCTTCCCTCTCTTTCTATATGTCCCCTCTCTCTATCCCTTCCTTATTCTCTTCTCTCCCTGCTCTTCTTCCCCCCTCTCTCACCACCGTCTCCCTCTTCCTCCTCCTTCCCTTCCTCCCTCGTTAGCCACAACCCTTGACCCTTCTTTCCTATTGGATCTAGACTAGATTCGATGGGGGACAGAGGCCGAGAGTCACAAGGGATGGGTGAGAACAAGGGGGAGTAGTGGGGGGAAAAGGAGAGAAGGGAAAATAGGAAGGAGTAGGAGAGTTGGAAGCAGAGAAAGAGAAAAAAGGGAAAAAAAAAAATGCCAGTGGCGACAGTAGGGTGTGGTTGGAGAAGTAGTGAGGAAGAAGAAACGTGAAACAAAATGGAAAAAAGAAAAAGAGAGAAAAAAAATTTAAATTATTTTTTTAAAAAAATCTTCAAATGCGGAAATTTTTTTTCACAAGTTCTACAACAAATTATTGTAAAGTTTTATACAAGCATCTAAAAAACTATTATTTATAATAGATGCAAAAGAATTGGTGGTAGCCAGCTGAAAATCTGCATACAAGTTTTGTTAGCTTTTTAACAAGGAAAAAAAGAAGAGGTCCACTTCACGCAATTTGAAACGCATGCATGCATCATTGAGTCCATGAATTGGGTGGAAAATAGACTAAGAAATTTGTAACCAAGTATCTCATGGTTAGTTTCAAGTGTTCAACTGCATTGGGGTGGGTGACCTCTCCTGCGGTTACAGTACACCCTTGCAGGCTATGAGAGTGTGGGGGTGGGATCGCCGCTCATACATTAACCGCAACAGTGGGAAGAAGGAATGAAATAATCAAAGCGTAGATTCAAGAAACAGAAGCGTGCGGCGCAAGCCAGATCGAACCCATACATCACAAGTCACGACGACGTCCCCCGAGTATCATACCAATGAAAGGTGCTTACCACTTTCACTTTCACTGGCACTTTTTTTTTTTTTTTTTTAAAATTTAAATATAAGTGGAAGGGCAGAAACTCTTGGATATTTCACTTATACTTACTCATCTAAAGCACCCAATCCACCTCTGAATTAACTTACTAGTTGTCTCGCTTGTAACCATCAGAGTATTTTCTCCCAACATTTTTTTCCCCATTTGCAAAAAAGCGTGCGGATACTAGCAAATACGGCCAGTTGTCGGATTATTTGGCCAATTTCCTTTCGGGTTATCTTTTTTTTTTTTTCCGAAAACGACAACAGTTGTATAATCTAATTTATTTTATATTAAGGAGGAGGGGGCGGACCTAAGGAGACTTAAGAATAATTCGGAAAGGACTGAATCACCAACGAATCAAATGATGCACAACACACTTGTTTAAATTTTTTAAAACAAATTATTTAAATGTGACATTTTGATGGGAGGTAAGGTTCACCCCACCAAGCTAGGTGGTGGCTACCAGACCAAAGATTCCTTTCAGGTTGTCCAACCCAACAAGAATAGGATACGGCCAGCCAAATCATCATTTAGGGTCGGTCCCACTGGTAATCTTTCTTCAAGTTTCCAGGATTTCTTTACTCCAAAATCCAAAGGCAAGATTAGCTACTACTCCGCTGCGTAAATTCGACGACGTCGACGTGACGCTGCTCTCTCTCCAACTCTGTTCCCTTAGTTCTCTCATCTCTCTACTCCCTCCTCCCTCCTGGATAGTTCTCTCCAAATCGAGGCTTCTCCAGACAGACACTACGTGACTACATCCTAAGCGGTTCTCTCTCTACATCTCTCTCTCTCTCTCTCTCTCTCTCTTTTGGGTTATTATTTACGATAGATTATTCATTCATTCATTCTTTGCTGAGCAGGAGGGTTGTTGGAATGAATCATTGTTCCTTATCTTCACAGTAGTATTATTATTTAGTGGACGATTATTAATTTATTTTGTACAGTAATATCCGACTTTGGGCTTGCGGAGGATCAAAGAAAGGTTTTCAGGGACATTGGTGTTGGAGTTGGATGGGAATTGAGGAAATTAGGAGGAGGAAGAGGTGCTGGAGAAAAAAGAAGTGATGATGAGGAAGTCTTTTAAGGATTCTCTCAAAGCCCTTGAAGCTGACATCCAACATGCCAATACCTTGTATGTAAGCTGTACCCTCAACCGAGAATTCCCCGAAACACTTCTGCCTGCTTTGCTTTCACCCCTTCTTCTCCCTGTTTTTCTGTGCTTTTTTAGATTGTTTAATTTCCTAAACCATGGAACCGTTTTTGCTACTCTCTCTCCTTTTTTTTTCTTCCTTTTACCAGAAAAGAAATATTTAAGGTTACAATTTGTTTAGCTCCTGATTCAAACCAACTCCTGATTTCACCACAAAATAGTAGTATATATTTTTATTTTTGTGTTGTCTGCCGTAGCTCGAAGCAGGGTTTGGGGTTTGAATGGGTTACCTTTATTCCATTACTGCTAACTTGTTATTCTATCGGTTAACCCACCTCATCGTCTTTCCTGAAAATTCTTACTGGTACTATGTAGTTCTTTATGACAAAACCTGATGGTTCAATTACCTTTCGTTTTTCCTTTTATGTTTCCTACTCTCTCTTTTTTTTCACATTATTTGGGGAATGGATTTCCCGTGTTATTGTGCTCGTGCTCTCCGCGTAAATTCCTCGTCTCAGTTCCTTCAACTCTGTCCTCCTTTAGAATATCCTGACTTAGGGCCTGTGCTTACTATTCCTGAAAGAAAAATCTGAGGCTGGACCACAGCTGGTATTCCTATTCATCAACGTTTTTGTTTAATCTTTGGAAATATTTAGTTCATTTGTATCACAAAGGTTTTATTATTCAGTACTGAATATTTTGATCTAGAAATCTTGTTTGGACAGCCATTTTCCAAAGAAAAATTGCTACGTTTTCCGTGAGCACATTTTCCAATAACCTTTTTACCTTATATATATATCAAATCGCCACAGTAATTTTTCTACAAAAAATCTAGAAAAATGCAATCCAAACACAACAGTAATATTTGATTTTTTGTTTGGAACACAGGGCTTCTGATTATCCTAGAGAATATGATGGAGCTTGCCTCCAGATGAGACTATCATATAGTCCTTGTGCCCACATTTTTCTCTTTCTCGTCCAGTGGACGGATTGTCACCTCGCTGCAATTCTTGGCTTTCTCAGGATCCTTATTTATAAGGTCATTTCCTATCTTCTTGATCTCGTTCCTGCTGCTACACTGTTGCTCTTGTTTCTTTCCTTCCTCTGTTAATGATAGTCGATAAGATGATTTTGCAATTGCAGGCATACGAAGATGGTAGGACATCCATGTCCGTTCATGAAAGGAAAGCTACTATAAAGGAATTTTATGGTGAGCCAATCTTTGGGTTCTTTTCTTTTCTTTAAAAAAAAAAAAAAGTCTTGCTGAGGCTTCTATATTGTAGTTCTTGGTGAGGAAAAATTTTGGTCGTTTTCACAATGCGAGTTCTGACAAGGACTGAAATTGGACCAGGTGTGATATTCCCCTCCTTGCTGCAACTTCAAAGGGGAATCACTGAAGTTGAAGAAAGAAAACAGAGAGAAATCTGTGCCAAGAAGTACACTAGAAGTTATGAAATGGGCAAAGGTAAGTTGTCTGAAATCGAAATTGAGAGAGAAGAAGAATGTGGAATTTGCATGGAGATGAAATCTAAGGTTGTTCTCCCCAGCTGCAACCACTCTCTCTGCTTGAAGTGTTATAGGGACTGGTAATTATTCCGCTTTTGGTTTTACTATGAATTTGGACATTTCTTTTACCTTTTATGATCTTTTTGCTGTTGTATTCCTTTGCGAATAGGATGGCCATTGAGCACCAGTGTCTAGATATCTCAATGTGATGCAGCCATGCAGCATGTAATTACAGAAGCCTAATTAGTCCCATGCCCTTCATTTTGATTCTTGTGATATATTGAGCTTTAGTTCTGTAGATCACTTAAAACCAGCCAAGGGCTACATTGCAATCGCTCGCTTCTGGTGTGGCATCTCTATCTAGTCGTATGGTACCCACTCGAGTTACAATATAGTAAATCTGATGTCAGGCTCAGTTAAAAATTCTCAAGTCTGAATTTGTAGCATTTCCAGGTAATCTTTGGTCCTAGTGCGTCTGCTGATTTCTGCCAGGCAAGAGCTTCAAACGGATTAGAAAAGGAATGGAATTTTTAAAAATCCTCGTCCTGTTGTTATCAGTGAAAGAACTAAAGTTTAATAAATTATTGGATGCAGATGACCAGTTTGATTTGTTTCTATGACCTCAGGGTATTGTGTCTGTTACCCTTCATTCTCCCCGTGTTTCCGAACTGATATTTGAGCTGTGCCTTATTTCTGTCTATCTGTTTTAGATGGAAACCTCTACTGAAGTCAAACAAGGTAATGTTTCTTAATGCTGGGTTATTATTTGTTTGACTTAGGCGTGCAAGGTCTCAATCATGCCCTTTCTGTCGGGATAGTCTCAAAAGAGTAAATTCTGGAGACCTTTGGATTTACACTAGCAGTTGTGAAATTATAGAGTTGTCAGCAATTGCAAAGGAAAACTTGAAGAGACTTTTCATGTACATTGAGAAACTACCTCTTCTAGTTCCAGATGCAGTGCTGGTCTCTTATGATCCTCAATTCAGATGAAAGAATTCTTGGGGTACAGTTATAGTGTTCATTAAATTGAAATTGTTGTACATATGTACATATGCTTTTGTGTAGTTGTTTATATAAACAAGTTTTAGAACTATAAACAGACGTTTGGCAATTGTGAGCTAGCATTAGAGGTGATGTCTGCACTGTATTTATCGCACATTCAAGATGCAAGCATGAAATTCATTCTTTTAGTTTCTTTTGTGTTGCTGCAGTAGCTATCATTTTGAATTTGAATTGTAATGATAAAATCGACTGACTCCAAAAGATATTATTATTATTATTGTGCCAAGACAGAAATAGAGATGTTGAGGAATACATTGGCTGCATATTGCTGGGAAGATTTTCCCGAGGTCGGCTTGTACATACGTGAAAGCGGTTTTCCTCTTTTCCTATGCTGCTTGTTATGAGATCCGAGGCATTCTAAGGAAAAGGTCTCAGCGCAATTGCATTCTAGCCCTTCTTCGTCTTCTCTTACTATTCTCGCTAATATATTTGCTCATTCAATAAATCTTGTACGGGTGCTTGCAAGGACACCGTGCACATACAAGGGACGCAGGAAGATTTGACCATGCTCTTCCAGTGCATCTTGGTCTCTATCGTCTTTAACTTTGGAAGGCAGTTTATCAGGGGCCAAGCCCCCTCTACTTGTACTTGGGGCTTTGGGTCCTGTCGATTTTACGTGGATTACCTGTACCTAAAAGAAAGAAGTTGCTAAGGTAACATCCAAGGTTGGGTCTTGATAGAACACCTTATGCCTTGTATTAGGTCGACGATCATGACCAGCAGCTTGATACAGATGACGAGTCGAGTTGGTCATTTTTCCAGAAGCGCTGCAGTTCGCAACTTGAATTGATGGCTTTCACAGTAGGATTACCAAGTCTTTTCCTGTCTATGAGTTCAAGTCTTTCGGTGTCTGACGTCCGTCCATCTGTCAAGGGTGTCCTATGTGGTTCTAGGATGGAAGTAATAATATAATGACTCGCCACTGTTTCTTTTGGAGCGGCCCTGCTGTGGAGCTTTTTTGATTTATTTTTTTTTCCCCTTGCATTTTTCGTTTGGAATATAAATTTAAAATCACCCTGCAAGCAACCTCTTTTAGTAAAAAGAATATTTCAAAGTCATACCGTTTGCACCACATGCCATGTACTAATTAATAATGGCAATCAACTGCGGTCATTATTTCTCTAATACTTTTAGATATAGAATTGTGAGTAATTGGCATGTATGTAATACACCATCTAGATTTGCCATGTAGTGCATATATATATATATATATTTCAATCGTATCCATCCGGTTCCTCTCAAGTTTTATTTCTAGTTGCGTCCCTGAAGATCGTGTTAGACGTGAAGGCGCATTGAGGAATGCCCTATCACAATGTCTCTATACCTACGAACTTGAAATGTTTCACTTGATGCTTCCATCAATAGCTTTTCGAGTGTACGAGGCCTTGTTCTCAAACTAATTTTATCTTTTGATTCTTAAATGTTATTTTATTTATCTTCAGCTATTTTCCGTATTGTAATTGTACATTTTTTGAAGTTTTACATATTGCTTTTGGATTCTCATTATGGGCTACTTATACCCTCAGAATTGTAAAATAACCATGAAATATTTCTGAAGTCCATTCTTGTAGCATAGAAGGACAATTTGATCGCTAATTAGTTTTTTTTTTTTGTTTTTTAGTATAAAGCGCAAGGACTCAAACCCGAGACCTCTTACTTACACTCTCTCCCCCCCTACCACCCAACCCAACCCAACCCTTCCTCCCTGATCATTAATTAGTCAAACTCAACTTTCAAAACTTTTTTGTTCCTAGAACAACATGGATGCATCTAAATAGAGCTTTCAACAGCAAGCAAGAATACATGAATTAATCTAATTTTCACAAATCAATTCAGTAAAATCACAACCTTTACAAAATCAAAGCAGTCAAAAAGAAACCCCCCATAAATAAACATCTTGCTCATAATCTAGTCTAATTTAAATTTGCTAAGACGGCCTCCGGCATCAACTTAAATCAGTATAGATCTATAACAGGGTCGACACATCCACGATAAAAATTGATAGGTTTCACATAAGATCGAATTTGCAGCTTTGGATGGCAAGTACAATGCGGTCAACGGTCAACTCAACAAATAAATAACTTGCATTAGCAGGCGAAGCCAAGTAAATTACACACTGTCATTGTACCCCCCAAAAAAAAAAGGCAAAAAAAATACTGCCAATAAGGTCTCGTCTCGAGTTGTATGTTTGTGTACATATATACAAATGCATCCTGCTAGTAGCGTAGGCAATTTCATGAGGCCGGTTCCCCTTATGATCAATTCATTTGTATACCAACCTATACTCTCAGTCGGGTAATCTGGCATGACAAAAGCAAGGGACAAAAACATATAGTACATTATATTCATTTCAAAACACCAAAAACACCCCCTTTCTGATTCAGTCATCGTCGTCGTCATCGTCTTCTTCTTCCTCCTCCTCATCCTGTCCAAAGGTTACCAGATTAGCTTGGCAAAGAACAGATACACATGCACGAGTATTCGTCTCAATGCATCCAGTGGCTGTAACTACAGCTGCATTTCTTGTGGGATATACCAACAATTACAAAGGCACCACTCTTGCATTCAGATAACAAGGAGCCCGAAGAAGGTAAACTTGAAAGGTTCATCTTATTACGATTATACTGTAGAATGTTTTTAAACCATTTCCATTAGAATTCTGGATGGTTCAAAACGAAATTTAGAATAATCTCAACTCCACAGAGAAACCTTCATCCTCTACCAGGCTGTAAACTATAAATGTAACATTTTTCAGTAGACGACGTCTAATTTTTCTGTCTGGTCCTATATAGTTTCAAAACCAAGTTTTTCTTGATTTTAACCTGCACTATTGATAGTCAAGATAACAATATATTTCAACTAAAGCATCAGGAAAAGGATAGTAGAAAGAGCAAAATGATGTGGAATTGTGGTCCCAACGCTTGGAGACTTCGACTTGGTGCCTCAAGGATTAGATCTAAATCATAACAAAACATCAACTATCACCTAAAAATTGAAAATTAACTAACAACTACTGGCGAATATAAAGCAAACAGAAAGTGAACCAGCAGAGCAACTTCATCTCAGGCTATCCTGCATCTAAAGACCAAAGCACAAAAATATAACATAGATATAGAAGCATATATACCTGCCCACTCTCTTCTTCGTCATCCTGAATTTCAGACTTGGACTTCTCCGATTCCCCCTCACCCTCATCAGCTGAGCTTTCCTGCCAGTCATATACAGAAACTTAAGGCATTACAAAGCCTAATGTAGAAGCCCTTTCAGAACGGCATAAAACACCTCTGAAGTTAAACTGCTAAAAGTATTAATAATATTATTCTACTGGTAAAATGTGCTCCGTGATACCATAGCAAAAACGCATGAATTGTTTCACCTGCTTTTTGTTGTAGGCATTTATAAGCCTCTCATACTCAGACTTCCTCTTTGCAGCTTTAGCTTCATATGGAGCTTTATCCTTCCAAAGAGAAAGGACATCCTTGTCAGTTACAGAGCATCATGGATCTCCTATTACATATCTCCTTCAAAACACAGGAGCCTGTTTATGTCTGCCTTCAAGAATTAACCCACATTCTAAGGAATGCTAATTGAAAAATGTCCTAATGTCTTAACCCAGTCACCATAGTTGTGCCATAGTTGCAATACTTTAGTCAGTACATCAATAGCAAAGTGTTAGCCAGACAACCGAAACCACAATTAAGACTGTTGTTCAGGTTAGTGTATACCATAGATAATACATACACATCCGAACACTCACCGCTGGAGTCATGGATTTCCACTTCGCCCCTCCAGCTTTCCCAACCTTGAAATATGGCATAAATATTAGAGACCATGAGACCATCAAACATTGAGAATCGATGTGCGCAAGAACTAAAGCATATGAAAATGTTCACAAACACTTACAGCTGAGACGGCCTTAACATCAGGATGTTCCTTCTTAAATGTATTTCTGAACTCTTCACTGCAAAACGAAGTCAATTAGATTAAGCTACAAGTATAACGAGTTCTTATTTGGGGAAAATCAAGGCACATACAGGAATAAAAAGAAGGCACTGGGGGGCCTCTTAGGCTTATTGGGATCTTTCTTGGCCATTTTCTCCTTCTTAGCCTTCCTTTTACTACTCTGATCTGCCATGAAGACTGCCTTTCTCTTCCCAACTCCTCTGTAAAAACCACGTATATACACGATCCATCACTATAATATGTGTTGCCTCAATATCCAACAGCAAACATAAGAAAAATTTAATCAAACAAAATAAAAAATAGTGTTCTTGGCCAGCTAAATGTACATGTCAGATGTATTAGATGCATTTAGGTAGAACATAGCTATTCATAACGTCAACAATAAACAATATAAATACTAGAAATTGTATGCCTTTTTTTTTGTTTTTTTTTGGGGGGGGGGGGGGGGGGTTGGGGTGGGAGGAAGAAGAAGAAGAACCTATCATGGACAGGCTTCAATGCTTCTTTTGTGTCCTTTTTCACTGCCCCCTTGCCCTTCCCAGTCTTCATTGTGACAAACTGAGTTCCAGAACCAAAAACACAGGTAATATAATATATCATGAAGGTAGATACATAAATAAATTAACGATGACTTCCAAACATAAGTCTTCCATATTTTCAGAGTCCTCGAATTTTCACGTGGGGAAAAAAAAAAGTAATTATCGCCTGACAAAATCCCTATCCATCTTATACAGTAGCATACCAAAATTTTTAGGTACACGAAGTTGCCAGTGAAGATATAATATAAATCACAAATTACTATTTTAACAACTGAAACTACCATTTGCTGATATTGACAGGTCAAACTCAGAGCGACATCATAATTTTGATAACAGAAAATAGATTATTCGTATTTCTAACATACTCAAACATGTTTGATTCTGACGCAAACAAGAATTTCAAAGAGGCAGAGAACCGCTGCGGTGCAAAAATGAAAAATAAAAAATAAAACAAAATTTGCTACAAGGAATACTGATAGATGTATTATTTGAATCAAATATATTGGTTCAGCTATTCGTAGTTTTCGGTATTTGATTCAAGTAAAGAATTTCATGTAAATTTAAAACGTAAAAGAAAGAAAAAAAAAAAACTAATCATCCATAAGATAGTCCGAAGTAAATTTTATGCACAAACATTTTTCCTACAAAATTCAATCATGAACAGTAGTATTGACTATTGCCGAACAAAGTAAGAAGATGGAAACAACAATTGCAGGGGAAAAGGGAAGAATTACCTTTGGAGAAAAAAAAGATAAGAAGCGATCAGCTGTCGCGGGATGGTAAACGGAGCAAAACAGAGCAGGAGTAGTCTAGTAGTGGTTGGAACTTGGCCGAATAATCAAGCGACTTTTGAGTGGGACAATACGACGTCGCATGTGTTGGTGACCGGGCTAGTCGGTAATTATGACGCAGTTGACGAGGGATGGATCTAGGTACAAAATCGCAATACAAGGGCTCAGACCGGAAGCAGAAAAATAGCAACAAAATAAAATACACAAGAGAGGATTTTGTGTGTGTGTGTGTGAAGGAAATACACTATAGAGGTCACTTTAGATAACATTTACTATCGTTTTCAGCGAAATTTGAGGATTGTGTTCAAACTATAAAGTCCTTCCAGCTTATTCTAACCATTTTTGTCTGGCAATAGTAATAATTAGTAGAAAAGATTTCCTCTCTAATTTTTAAGAAATGATTTGAAGAGTTTGGATCATTTTCTTTAGTTTTTCTCTTCTACTTGTTAATTTTTTAAGAATTTTTTTCATCTGAATGAATATTCGTTGGTACATTTAAATTGCATATTATTTGCTGTTATGTGAATAAACATACCTACACCTAATGCATTCTTATATTTAGATAATTTTAATTTGACTTTTGTAAATAAAAAAAAAATTAACAAATCGAGATTTTCTCTTACGAATGTTCTAGAGACGCCGTAAGCAAAATTATTTTTTTTTTTGCTTTTTAAATTTTAATCAGTTAAAAATACGTAGACCTGAGAGGTCTATTTTCGTGGTTTTTGTAATTTTGATCAATCCAAAACACGATTTTATAGCTGAAGGAGGAGGAGGATTAAAAAGCTAAAAAGAGCAGGAGTCACGGGAAGTGGCCGGTTTCGCTTAAAGTGGAAGCAGTAGTGGTGAAATAAGTACTACTTAAATTTAGTTGGGCACGCGACGCGAGTGCAAGGGATATCGCATGCATGCAATGACAAGGAAGATTTTCCGTGTCATGCGTTGCAGTTGGACACTTGGACGTCAGTGATCCGAGAGTTACGAGTTTTATGACAATCCATTCATCTTGGGTCTTGTCTTATCAACGATCGTATTCCTTCCAATGTTTTAAAAACCGGACCGTTAATCGAACCGGTGAAGTGAAAGGGTCGAGATTCAATCGGTCGGACCGGTTCAACCTCGGTTCAATAAATTTTTTAAAAAATAATTTATATAAATATATATGTGCACAAAATAAGACATGTAATGGATAATTTAATACTTTATATGATGAAAAATTTACTATTTTTGAATAACTTGGATTTTTAAAAATAAATTTTTTAAATTATAAGTTAAAACAAATAAATTTCATTTCAATTTCAATTATATCTACCAAAAAAATCTTAAATATAATCCAAAAATATCACAATATTTGAAATTATATAAAATTCACGTCTATGAGAATTTAGACATTGTGAACTTAAATTTTAATTTACATTTTGGAATTTAAATTTACAATTTAAAAAAGGAAATTTGGAGTTCGAAGAAAATCAAGAAAATTGAAAATAGAAATGCAAATTTGATAAAAAACAAAAAATTAGATAAAAGTGGGTGGTTGTGGTATTAAATAAATTGGGTTAAAGAAAAATAATTCTTTTTTAACTTTTTTAAATTTAATGGACAAAAACAAAATTAAAATATGGAAGAAAATATCAATAAATTAAAAATAAAAAGTTTTGATTAAAAAATGAGTGGCAAAAGAAAAGATGATAGAGAGAGTGTGTGTGTGTTGAAGATTAAAAAGAAAGAGTCATGAAAGGATGATATTTTGTGAAAAAAATGGAACAAAAGAAATATGAGTGTTTGTTTTATATAAATAAATTATCAAAAAAAACTAATAAGATGTGATGGTGCAATGGTTACTACATTGGTCTTCTATTACAAAAGTTTTGAGTTCGGATCTTGATAACTACATTTTGCAAAAAAAAAAAAAAGGAAAACTCAAAAACCGGAAATAACCGGTTCAAATCCGGTTCAGCGGTTTAGCGGTCCGACCGGTTTTTGACCGGTTTCTTGACAAAGTCAAACCTGACATTGAACCGGACCGGAGCCATGGCCGGTTCGCGGTTCAACCGGTCGAACCGGCGATCCGGTCCGGTTTTCAAGACACTGATTCCTTCACCCAAGAAAAAAAAAAAATCAACGATCAGATTCTCATTTCTCACCCATGCTGCACTTAGTGTGAGGATTTTACCGTCATCAATTTGTATCACAATAATACTCCAGATTTTAAAGCATCTCGAAGGTTTTAGATCCATTTATTATTATTTCTCATGCCAATATTCAGAAAGATTATCCCTTTATATATATATATATATATATATATATATTTTTTACCCTCCCACCTCTTTCCCACTAATCGAGTCAAGGTTGAGTAATGTACTACTTGAATTCTACTCGAGTAAAAATATTTGGATTTAATCTCGTCGGATTCTTCAAAGTTGAGTTCAAACTTTTTTAAACTTAGTCGAACTCACCAAATTGAGTTCAATTAAGGTTTCAAGTTCGATTTTTTAGTAAAATTTATAATCTTATAATAAATATTTAAAATTTATATTATAAATAATATACTCGATAATTGCTCAACGAATATTCAAGTTTTGACTTTTTCTATTCAAACTTGACTCGATTACCTCCTCAAGTAATTTGAACCGAAATCTGAGTCGAACCTTTAATCGAACTACCCACAAATCCGAGTCAAGTAGTTTAATTAATTTATACCAGAACTCCTCATATCCTTCTTACACCTAACTAACTATTAGGTCCAAGATTCCAGTGATTTATACCTTCTAATGTTCATATATATATATAAGTGAATTAAGTGAATTCATCCCACGAATGTTGTCGTTTTGTATGTTGAAACGAACGCTGACCAGCTAGGAATATTGTCATCATCATTTGTGTGTATCTGAGTTAATGTTTCATACCATGCATGCCAATGCCCTATCCATTACTGATCAAATCACACAGTTAATTCATGAGACACTCTTCATTGATTTTTTTAGCCGTCTATGTATCAAATGGCACAAGCTACCTTATAAAAGGAACTCAGATGCCATTCCAGTTGCTTGATGCTCATTTACCCTCCCAACAATCTCCTGCATTTACTTGTCATGAATAGAAGAGCCCATCAAATTTACACGCACGCACTTCAGAATTTTCACCGCATAAAGCAAGCGTGAAGGAAACGGACAAAGTGTGGAGTGTAAGACACAAAGATGCGAGTAGGGCTGCAAACGGATCGAGCGGCTCGCGAGCGACTCGAGTCAAGCTCGAGTCGAGCTCGAGCCGGCTCGAATCAAACTCGAGCTCGAGTTCGAGCTCAAAATATTAAGCTCCTTAGCTCGCGAGCCGGCCAGCGAGCTTGGGTATATATATATATATTTTTTATTTTTATTTAATAATAAAATTACGTATATTATATATATATTTTTTATTTTTTATTTTCATAGTAAAATTACGTATATGTCCTTAATATTTTATTATTTATTAAGAAAAAAATATTATTTTATTTATTTTTTTTAAATAAAATATTTATTTTTTATTTTTTTTCGAGCTCGAGCTCGGCTCGACTCGACTTGATTCGAGTCGAGCTCGAGCTCGAAATTTGCCGGCTCGTCGAGCTCGAGCTCGAGCTGGGCAAAATTTAGTCGAGACTCGGCTCGATTAGCTCAAAGCTCGACTCGGCTCGGCTCTTTTGCAGCCCTAGATGCGAGTTACCGATTCGCAAATAGAACGGGGGATTGTTTTGATTAGGTATTTGCTTTTGGAATATGTTCTGTACGGGGAAAACAAGAAAAGGTGGTGTTTCTCTTTTTCCGCTTTTCACACGAGTGGTAGAGTAAATACACATCTTTAACGTATAAAACTAAGCAGAGGATTTTATTGCTTTCGTGCCTAACATGGGCCATAATAAAAATACACTCTTTGCTCATAGTAGCAAGGTCCCTGATACAAGTGAGAAAGGGAGAGAGATATTTTCCCAATCCCCAGTTGTTTGTCAGCCACATAACATCATCCTACGTGGCATACAATAAGACCAGTTAAAGCAATCGATGGCCGGGACGGGATAAGAAATCGATAAGGCACAGAGCTTGACAACCCTCAGATGGATTCATCAATCCATCCAACGGACACAGATCCCCATGACAGATAATCCCTCGCACCCCAAAATCTATTTCTCCACCAGCAATTGCATTTGCCGGCTCTATAACCCTGCCAAGAAAAAGTGAAAAACACCACCATATCACACCACACGCCTCCCTCCCTGCCTCCTACTCTCTCAGATCCTCTAGCTTCACATTCGTCGACATGGCCACCACCACCACCACCACAGCGGCCGCTACATCCTCCTTCCTTGGAACCCGTCTTCCGGAGGTCCACTCCAGCTCCGGTCGTGTCCAGGCAAGGTTTGGTTTCGGACCCAAGAAAGCTCCTAAAAAGATCGCAAAGCGCACCTCAGACCGTCCATTGTGGTTTCCAGGAGCCACAGCACCAGACTATCTGGACGGCAGCCTCGTGGGTGACTATGGGTTCGATCCCTTCGGACTAGGCAAGCCGGCCGAGTACTTGCAATTTGAGTTGGACTCCTTGGACCAGAACTTGGCTAAAAACGTTGCCGGTGACATCATCGGAACCAGGACTGAAGTCGCGGACGTGAAATCAACTCCATTTCAGCCCTACAACGAAGTCTTTGGCTTGCAGCGGTTCAGAGAATGTGAGTTGATCCACGGAAGGTGGGCTATGTTGGCTACTCTTGGCGCCTTGGCTGTCGAGTGGCTCACCGGAGTTACCTGGCAGGATGCCGGAAAGGTACCTTTACCTGCATGTGTATACAAAATACAAATGCATTAGTCGTGTCGTATTTCTTAGTTGCCTGCCCCTGGCTAGAACCTATAAGGCGTTAACGCATGATTTTTCCGTGCGGATTCCAATCGATGTTGGCTTTAGTAACGTACGAAACGTACGCAGTGAAGTGAAGTAATTTTCAGAGCATCTATTCTATTGAGCTAAAAAGATTCTACGTTAATTTGAACAGGTTGAGCTTGTGGAAGGATCATCATACCTGGGCCAACCACTTCCATTCTCCATGAGCACATTGATCTGGATTGAGGTGCTGCTCATTGGATACATTGAGTTCCAAAGGAATGCCGAGCTCGACCCCGAAAAGAGGCTGTACCCTGGCGGAAGTTTCTTTGACCCGCTTGGGTTGGCTGCTGACCCTGAGAAGAAGGCTACCCTTCAACTTGCCGAGATCAAGCATGCCCGCCTTGCCATGGTTGCCGCCCTCGGCTTTGCCGTCCAAGCCGCCGCAACCGGCAAAGGCCCGCTTAACAACTGGGCTACCCACTTGAGCGACCCTCTCCACACGACCATTTTTGACACCTTTGGACTTTTCTCTTAGAACGCCAAACTGCTCTTCCTTGAACATCCGCCTCCAAGTTGAGAACACCTTAATGGATTCTTACATCCGTTCTCATTATGTAAAGAACTGTGTAATTTGAAGAACTGAGCTTAATTGAGCAGCGTATTGCTACTATTTATATTCCCGCTAGCATAGCGTACCGTATATAGACACACAGTCACACATACGCGCGCGCGCAGCGGTGGTGATGCTCTGGGAAAAGGCACACGTCCCTTGGAATGATCTTAATTTCAGGAAAATTAATTAATTAAATGGGGTGGGTAATTACTTATCAAAAGAGAACTACGTACTACTAATATGAAGGGGGTTTTTTTTTGGGCATTTCAGCTGGAATAAGGCCGTTAATTTTAGCTTAATGATTTTTTGTTGTGGTAAATTACGAAGGATAGATCTAGTTTACTTAACAAAAAAAAAGGTGGGGGGGGGCGCTAATGCTCTATACATCAACTACTGATTGACGCACACCAGATATGCAATTGCAGATTAAAAAGATTAATTTGTCGCGAAGTTACAATTTAGTATAGACAAATATGACGCATAAAAAAGAATTAAAATGTGCAACTAGTTAATGGTATTTGATTAAGTTAATCACAACTAATTATTGTATGCCGCTATATAATCATAACCAGGTTTAGGCGTCGGCGTCAATGTCAGTGTCAGTGTCACTCCCAAAGCGTATGGTTCTGGTTTTCTTGTTTAGTGGTTCTGTGGAAAGAGTGGAGTCGCTGGACTTTGGTTGTTTTTTTTTTTTTTTTAATTATTACTCCCTCCGTCCCACTTTGATAGTCCTGTTTCTTTTTTCACGCAGTTTAAGAAAAAGTAGTTAACTTTGTTGGAAAAGTAAATTTAGATTACTATTTTCCTAAAATACCCTCATATTAAATAGAGTACAACTTTATGGAAACTTGAATTGATGGTAAAAAAAGAATCAACTCTCATTAAATGGGGTAGGTTTATAGCAACAACAACTTGTATTGAATAAGGGTATTTTAGGAAAATGAAAATACAACTACATTCTTCAATTGGAAAGTGGACTGCAATTTGGGACAGATAAAAAAGGAAAACAGGACTATCAAAGTAGGACGGAGGGAGTATTATTTTGTTGGGTGTCGATGCATCTGGACCGTCTCTTTTCGAAACATTGCTGCTCCTTCCCTTTTGCCTCATGTTACAATTTGCAATGACACATAATAATTGCAAACTCGTAAACATGGCAGACATGACATGCAGCTCGTATTACTATTAATAATTTATTAGTGCCATGAGCCGACCTCTACTTTAATATAAGTAGTTAAATACCAATTCACTAAAAATTTTCTAAAACGAATGGTTGGTTCAACGGAGTCTTGGATGCTTTCGGCTTTCGTCTCAGTGTTTTGTTCGATTTCCGCCAGATATTCAATGTAGTTAAAAGAGTCTTGGAATTGGGACGCATTCTGTACCTCTCGGCAACAGTTACATTAAAGCCTAAAAAGGAGATGGCGTATTTTTTTGGTAAGTTCAAACTTTTTTTTTTTTTTGGTTTTGCTCATTCTTGATTCAAGTATTCATTTGATTCTGTTCCTACCCGTTGCAAACAATGATGGAGCCAAGGGAGGGCAGAGGGGGGCCATGGCCCCCTAAGTTTTGAAAATTTTAATTCATAATATGTAAATATATGTATAAGTTAAAGGTGGCCCCCTAATTTTTTATAATTTTAGTTTATATTATGAGAGTTTATATATATATATATATATCTGTGTGTATATGAATTAGCCACCTTTTGATTTAATTTTTTCTTCAAAAAAAAGTTATTTATTTTTTATTGTACTAATTATTTAACATTCAAAAAATTAAACATATAATTTGATAATCCATAGTAAATTGACCCAATTTGATGGATTATAATGAAAGACTCAATTCATAATTATCAATGGGCTAAAATAAAAATAATTACTTTATTGGTCCATATACAAATATACACCTTAGCCTAATTGATAAAAAATTTAAAATTAGTGATCTATCCTCTTGTTGACTCATATACAAATATACAAATAATTACTTGAAAGTTTGGTGAAAACAAGAAATTGAGTGATACATCCTGTTATTGGCAGATTGATTATATTTGTTTTTACTCTTTCTGTATTAACTGCAACTATAGAACGTACATTTTCAATTGTGAATATAATCAAAACAAGATAAAAGATAATTTCTTGAATGATTGTCTAACAATGTACATAAAAAAAAGGATGATCAAAATTTAGCACCGATTCAATTATAAATGAATTTAGTTCTATGAAAGAACGTAAATCTCAATTTACTTTTTATAAAAGAGGATGAAATTTCAAGGTATATTAACATAATTTTCATCTTTTTTTTATTTTAAAAAATTATATTTATATTACATAGTTATATTTTTATTTTTGCGCAGGTGACATATTGGAGCATCTTCTCATAATGTACAACTTAAGTGGTTTGTGATGTTATAAGATATTTAATCAAATGTTATTTCTTATCTTAATTTTAATTCTGACTATGCTACATATTTATAAAATAGATATACCTTTATAATTAAAATTAAAATTTGATATTTTAAGATGTCATATATTTAAATAAATAAAAATTAGTTTGAACATAACATATTAAGATAATTTTGATAGAAAAAATGTTGACCCTCCCAAGGAAAAAATCCTGGCTCCGTCATTGGTTGCAAAGATTGCTCGGTTTTTCGAAGCATCTGTAGCATTTCATTACCGATATAATATAATAAATAGCATGTCGCTTGTGCAAGCTAAGTTAGGGGAGCTGCAAGACGAGTATTTACGACTTCGCTACTCGCGTTACATAACTGCATATGGCGTTTAAGGAACGCTTTATAGTTGTGGACGTCATCTTTCACATCTTGTTTAAATCATTGGCTATGTTGAATCCAGGGCGAAGCAGGGCCTGGTACCTGATTAAAAGGGCAACAAAAAAAAAAAAAATCTCTTGTGATATATCTAATGTACAGAAAAGCCTCCCAAGGTTTAAAAAGGTATAAAATGATACATCATATTTTGAATTAAATTATAAAATTGACCAAATTCGATAAACATAACGGAAAATTTAATGGAATCTAATAAATTTAATGATAAATATTTTGAACTAAATTACAAAATTAATGGAATTCAGTAAATTTAATAAAATTCAGTAAATATAACAAAAAATTTAATGAAATCTGATAAACTTAATGGTAAATTTAACAGGATCCAATAAGTTTAACAGTCAAAACTGTCATTTTCGTTAAATTTATTAGATTCCATTAGTTTTATAATTTAATTTAAAATATGAGATATTTTTTTGTATATTTTGAAACTATAGAAAATTTTTCTGTATATTAAGTATACCACAGGAAGTTTTTGTGTTTTTAACCAAAAAAAAAAAAGTAAGACCGGCGACCGGCCAAGTTTTAACTTGCAGCAGTGTTGGCTGCTTTTTGATTTCCAAAGCAATCAAAACGCATGTAATGTCAAAATCCTTCTTGTGCTCCTTATTAAATTAACATATATTATTATCCCATGTACAGCAACTTTGAATAGTATTTTTTTCTAGCCAGAAGATTTTGAATTTACAATTTTATATTTACTAATTTTTCAACCACGTCATCCAATCCTACGCCCTTCAAAAATCACTTGAGATTCTCGGCGACATATTTTCTATGTCAACTCAATGTCACCAATAATGTTGTGCTAAGTGTCTTGTTATTATTTACACTTTAATTTTTTAATAATTTAACTTGGCTTGGTTTAACACAAATTTAAATAATAACATAACACTATTGGTGGCATTGAATTGATATAAAAAACATGGTATTGAGGATCCCAAGTGCTCCACAAACACAAACGTTGAGCACACGGACCAACCAACTAATGCAAGGACAACAACTGTAAACTAGAGCATAAATCCAGAGTGTGCTGTACAGGGCTCACCGAATTCTCCTAATCTACCAACTAATAAAACTTGCAAGAAAACTAACATGAACCGACTTAAGTCCCATTTTTTCAAACTTATGATATGATAGCTATGCATACTAAATTATATATGATTTTTTTTTTTAATTCTTGGGGAGAATTACCCAGAAAAGTACAATACAGAAACAATCATTTATATACATCATTAAACTTAAGAGAGAGAGAGAGAGAGAATACCATATGGCAGATGGCATTGATCACCAGCCACCAGCTAATATATTTATAATTTAGGACCGATAAAAAAAGAAAAATAAGACTACAAAATTCACACGACACTTATCCATCTGGGAAAAGGAGGCTACGTAAGCGATACAGCTGAAGCGCAAATCAATGCAACTACGAGCGCAAGAAGAAGGCAGTACCTAAATGCTAAAAGGCGAAAGCAAGCAGTAAACTACAACTCAGCAGCATATACAGAGTCAGGAGTTCGTCACTACTAGACCACAACAACGCACTATGGTTGCTTTTGCACTCTTCCTCGTGTTTGTTTTGTCTGATTTTCTTCGCCACTCAATCCTGCGTCTCCCTCTCTCACTAGTCATTATCAAAAGATAAACTTCCCCATATCACAAGAAATCAACCCAACCCATATCTTTAGCAGGATTATTATTAATCTTTTTGGTCGCACTGAAATAATTAATTACGTTACTATAATTGAAAATGGGTGCATACACATGTACCTGTTTGTATGGATATCTATATCATACAAACAAGACCCGAATTCGGGTATAATCTTCCTCTGCCGTCCAAGACTTGGGTAAAGGTTTGCCATTTTCTTTTTCTCAATGGGGTTTTCATACTCTGTTGTCTTACTAGATAATGGGTCTGGATTTGAAGCAGGTGCATCAATGATTGTAACGAGGAAGGGATGTGATGTAAGATTGGATTTTTCTTGGTGGGGTCTTGTCAGATGAGTAAAAGGAGGGATGGGGTTTAGTAGCTGTTTCGGTGCATTCGGTTCTACTTGCAAGGAAACAAGTAAAACACAGAGGCCACGAGGTAAGAACCAATAATATTTCAATTCTTAGTTTAGGCTTGAATGGAAGTAACTTCTAATTACTGCTGAATTTGAGCACGGTGATAATTTTGTTGATTGGAATTAACATTCTTGATGAAGGTGAAACACTCTATAGGCCATTTCCATTTTCTCAAAGGGGTTTGCGTGTTGTACGCATGAAAAGAAGAGGTATTAACGAGTGAGGAGAGATTTGCCATGAAATTTTTCGTTAGTTATCATCTGCTAAAGCAAATGTCTCCGAACTTGAACTACAAATTAGGCTGTTAATATCATGCTCAAAACTTTAACTATTTACAAATACGAATAAGCAATCAAACCTGAATTTATCTTTCCCGATTTCTAATTCCCAACTCTAGATATTCCCCGGGCAATCACAACCTTCAAGCTTCTCATCATAATGTTGTTGCGTCTTTAGGAAACATCTGTTTTTGACCTTGATGAGTGGAGTCGATCCAAGCGTTCTTAAGGTAGTAGCTATGTTACCCAGTTTAGAGTTGTTTGGTTCAGAAAAATTTAGCATTACGTGCTAACAAATAAAGCTCCATATTCAGGCTTCAGTTTGAGCTTAATCTAAGCGGGACATAAGTGCCTTCAGCTGCTTACAACTTAGAGAACAGTTTCAGTTCAAAGATACAAGAGCCTAAACTTGTTTTACGAGATTTATAACCTGCTGCATATTTTAGGGTCGAAGTTATGGTCTTATCTGACTAGTGCGTATACTGATCTACAACTCTTTTCCATGATTTTCTATTTGATCACTTCTCATTCTCTGGTTTTCTATCTGCTTCTGCATGGTTAGAGCTCGCTACAAGCAATGTCAAGCTGTTCTCATACAACTCTTTGCGGTCAGCAACAGGACACTTTCACCCATCAAACAGAATAGGAGGCGGCGGTTTTGGAGTAGTATACAGGGTATGATCAATCTTAGTTTGTGTGTCTCCATGAGTTTTCCGGTTATTGCAACCTTGCTTAAGAGAGAAATAGAGAGGAGAGAAACGAGGGACTAAGCTATTCTGGTACCGTGCCAATATCGTTCTTATGCTCGATCCTTCTGAAATTGTTAGCTCTTCATAGAGGCTCTTATCTAGCTTCTTGTACTATTGCAGGGTGTTTTGAGGGATGGAACTCAAGTTGCCATCAAGTGTCTATCTGCTGATTCGAAGCAAGGGACCACTGAATTCTTAACAGAGATTAATATGATTTCAAATATTAGACATCCAAACCTTGTTCAGTTGATTGGTTGTGGCATCGAGGGCAGTTATCGGATATTGGTATATGAATATATGGAGAATAACAGCCTTGCAAGTTCTCTACTCAGTAATTTTCTGATTCTTTGATGCAAATGTTCCAATTTATGGGATCCCATGATTCAAAAAGGAGATAAGATGCAAAATTAGACGTTCCATTACCAAGTTTCAAGCTAAAAAATTTTTGCTGGTTCTACTTCAGGTTCAAAAGTTAAAAGGCTTGAGATGGATTGGTCCAAGAGAGCTAACATATGTAGGGGTACAGCTTCTGGCCTTGCTTTTCTGCATGAGGAAGCTGACCCAAGTATTGTCCACCGTGATATAAAAGCCAGCAACGTTCTTCTTGATGAGAACCTTCATCCCAAAATTGGTGATTTTGGGCTAGCAAAGCTTTTCCCCGACAACGTCACTCATGTTAGTACTAGGGTGGCAGGAACAGTGTAAGTGTGACTTTTACTTCTCTATGGCTTTCTTACAGCTGATTATTTTGTATTGATAACATGCATGTTGTTGTATGATTTTTCATTTATTTAAGAGAACGGAGTTGGATGGTTTGGTTTTAACTTATGGAAAGCATCCAGATTTGCTGTCTGGCTCAAATTGTTTAAAAGATCTTGTGACGTTCTGACATTGACGACTTAAGATTACTTACCTTTAGTGCCACAACCGTGAGGGAGTCCAAGGAAGTTTGTCTATGAGTGCTTTAATCGGTGTTAAGAGGGTTGCATTTCTCGCAAATGCTTAAATTTAGATCTGAAATGCATAAAACGTTTATCTTCTGGCCTCATTTTGCTGGTGGAAGTTGTCTCAATGTGCATTTGAATTGAATGTATCTTTCCCTTTCCTGCCTCTAGCTGCCCAATGTGGACTGTCACTTGACTCATGATGTTGATTTTATGCTTCAAAAATATTGAACCATGCTTGAAAGGAGTACAATTTCATCCAGAGAAAAAAAATTAATTCTAATTTGGGAGTACTATAAGTTTAGCATGAGCAATCTAATGCACAATCCGCCTGCACAACCAGAAGGAAGAAGAAGGTAGGGAAAAAAAAGAAAAAGAAAAAATCTCATTTGTCTTAATATGTTTCTGCAGTGGATATCTAGCTCCAGAGTATGCCTTGCTAGGACAGCTTAGTAAGAAGGCAGATGTCTATAGCTTTGGGGTGCTTGTACTCGAGCTGGTAAGTGGCAGAAGTAGTAGTAAGGCGGCATTCGGGGAGGATCTGTTGGTTCTAGTGGAATGGGTAAGTTGCAACCATGCAGAACCTTTACTTTTTTTGAAAACTGCAATTGAGATGTTGTTTATTAGCATCAGTTATTGCGCTTTTCATCTCATAGACAAGTCTGTTGTAATGTTGGTTGCTGAATCTGTGCAAGGGGTTTTGCTAGAATAATAGTGTACGCATCAATGTTCTTGTATATTGACTAGATTGCCAACACGTCTTTCAGACCTGGAAACTAAGAGAAGAAGGTAGGATTTTAGAGATTGTTGATCCAGAATTGGGAGAATATCCAGAAGAGGAAGTTATACGCTTCATCCAAGTTGCACTCTTCTGTACCCAAGCAGCTGCTCATCAAAGGCCTGGAATGAAGCAAGTGCTTAAGATGCTCTCTGAGGAGGTTAACCTTAATGAGCAGTTACTTGATGCTCCGGGAGTCTATAGACCGCATACCTCTAGGCAATCAGGCGGTGGTGGCTTGCAAATAACATCCTCACGGTCGGACAAGGGCAAGATGTCAGCATATTTTGCGATGTCAGCTGGGTTGGATACTTCTCAAAGTGTGACACAAATGCTTCCCAGATGAAAGCCAAGAGTCCGAAATTCCCAATTGTTGGTCTTGTGTTGATCCTCCTTGAGAATGGCTAAAAGTTGTATGTTCTGCTCGCCTAATCTTGACGACTTGTTCTACCAGTCTCCTATTTGGAAATCTAATCAGAGGATTTCTGCGTGGCTTATACCCGACACTAAACGATGTGAACAAAGACTACGGATCCAAACGGTTGTTTTCCTCTCTGCTCAAGGATTTCCGCGTCATTTCCGCTTGTGATGTCTTCAAGTGGTTTGCAGAGTTGGAGCCTATTTTATAAAGTTGAAGTTTGAAATCTGAATTCGAAAATTAGTGTAAAAGTATAATGATTGGTCATACTATTAATATTAACTTAAGGGCATTAGGAAAATAGTAGGCTGGATACTCTTTCAACAAAGTCAACTAATTTTTCTTAAAGTGTATGAAAAAAAAAAAACTAAAACTATCAACAGGGACAGAGAGAGTCGTTGTTTGTTGCAAAATCTTTTGGTCACGTTGCCAAAAGCAAATATATGTACCTTGTAGTAGGGGTGGGCACGGGTCGGGTACCCGCCCCTAACATGATTTGGCTGATCCGATCCTAATATATCGGATTAGTCATTTTGCGATCCTAACCCGCTCCTAATATATTCGGGTACCCGAAAAAAAAGGGCGGGTCATAGGGTACCCGCCCCTAAAAAAAACTATTTTTCAATTAAAAAAAATTTTATTTTCTACTTAATATCAACATGTTTTTCAATAAAAAAAAACATGCTTTTCCAATTAATATTGGTAGAGATATTGTAATTAAAGTCCATACATCACCATTTTCACACATTTCATCCAATAATCAAATCGATCTCATAAATTTAGTACATACTAGAATATCTAATGGACAAAACGAAGTTTCATAATAATTTTGAGTACATCACCATTTTCACACATTTCATACTTCTACGACACAACAAACACAAGGATAATAAGTATTTGGTAACTTCCCCAAGGATATTATGGTACAAGACCGCATCTCAAATAAGTCAATTGTGAAATCAAGTTCGGAAAAGAATTGAATAGAACTAATTATTTTTGAAAAAAATATAACCAAAATAATGTTAAAAATCTTCCCCAACTTCTTTACATCTTTGGAATAGACCTTATGGTATTAAGGTGATGAAAAAGAAAAATAAATTTTTTACACTAAATAAAAGAGACAAATTTAAGAGATATAATTGCAAATGAATGACACAAATATTTTAATTATCTAGCTAACAGAAAATTGAGACTCCAAACAAAAATCTTTGATTGAATTGATGCAAGATTTGCAGGAAAGATCGATGGAGGTAGAATAAAAATAAAAAAGATGAAAGGGATGAACAATTTTTATAACAGAGTTTCACAAATTTTTTTTTTCATTTTGTTCATGTTTCACCGAGAATATTCACTTTCTTCAAAAAAAAAATGAGAAGAGTAGATCATATAGGATTAGAATATGAGGCTGCGAGCCACTTCACTTGCACCTAGGATTAAAAATTACAAAATTATAAAATGATCCCTACTTTTTTAATATTTATAAAATATACCCTACGGGTCGGGTACCCGCGGGTTTTTATTTTTCTGATCCGTATCCGTACCCGATTTTTCGGGTACCCGACCCTCATCTGCCCCGCTAAGAAAAATCGGATCGGGTATCCTATTTTTCGGATCGGATCGGATCGGGTTCATCGGATTTTCGGATCGGCGGATTTTTTTGCCTACCCCTATCTTGTAGCATAGAAGTTATGAATTATATTGATGTGGAGGAATTTGTTTCGTCGTCTTAATTGGAATAGGGTTCGGTTGGTTGTCTTGTTTGGATTGCTGTTTTTCGTCAAAAAAATTATACGTCGTTTTTTGTAATCGCATTTTCCTATTACCTTTTTTCCTCACATACATCAAATCACTACAGTAATTTTTTTCATGAAAAATCATAAAAAATGCAATCCAAAAACACTCATTTTCGTTTCTTTATAATTTTGGTGATTTAGTGAACCAAACAAAGAGTGAGTTATGTAGGATAAAAAATGCTGGGTAACCGTAAGAGGATAACCGAAGATATCCAAATGAATTACAAAAAGGTGTCATATTACAATTTGAAAAGCCATAAATTTCCTTTCTTTTATCGACAACCTTTAAAGTGTTCCTACTTTAATCTATAAGTTGAAAACCATATATAAGGTACTTCTGGCACTTTCTAAAATTATCATAGACAACTAAAGTAGATAATTAGAATGTAAGGAACAAAATCATGGTAGATATTTTGCATGTTTAAAATGAGATCTACATGAATATTGGTGAACGGTGATGAATCTCAATATTTGTACTTGTTGGCGATATAAGTTCTTGCCATCTGATGTCATAAAAACACAATATTAAACTTTACTAATTACATGAGATTTTATGCGCGTGATACTGATTAAACTTTACTAAAGAGTGTATAATACGATAGCCTTTATAGGAACTAATTGCTATTAGTTTCTAAACTGTCGCTCTATTAATAATTAACTTTTTTTTTTTGTTTTCCCTTGAATCAACTAAGATAAAATTATACTAGAGCATATAATAATTGCGTATCAAATTCTAACAAATGTCGCTGATGAACCCAACTTTATTTCAAGCATCATTTAGTCTAGATATTTCTCGTGAACTATATTCATTGATTTGGTAAGAGGACCCTAAAATTCCAATACCTGAGTGTGTGTGTGTGTATATATATATATATATGTATGTATGTATGTATATATATTCTTAGGTTCCAATTCAATAGTCCGATGACATGTTTCTTAATTGTATAAACCAATAGCATATAACTCTAACCTAGCACAAATGAAAGCAATTATGAATAAAAGCATAATAATATTGATTCAACTATTCATTAAATGTTTAGATTTTTCTCCTGCAAACTTTATGGCTTTACCCAAAGTTTAGAACTCAATGCAATGTGTTAATTCACTATGATGTATATATCGATTATAGTTCGATAAAAGTTAATTTCCCTTTTTTAAAACTATTCAGCTTAGTAGGTAGAGGGTACTAGATGGTAATATGAACATGCAAGTAGTGAGAATTAAAATCCGTAGGGTTACTCAATAAGATTTGATAAAATATTTAGATAGGTAGACTAGGGTTCGATAAGAGATGTTTTTTAAGGTATCTGATCCGCTCCCATCCTTAAGTTTGGAAAGGTGAAAAACATTTAGTCTGCATTTGGATTGATGGATTTAACAAAGGATTTGAAATCTTTTCAAATTCCTTTAATTGTTTAGATTATTTAGAAGGTATTTAAATTTATAATTCATTAATTGTTCTAGTGTTTAAAATATATTTTGATAATTAATGAATTACGAACCTAAATATCTCGCAAGCAATCCAAACTATCAAAGCGATTTGGATAAATTTCAAATCATTCATCAAATTTTTAGATCCAAACAAAGCTTTATAGTTTTTACATTCGAATCACCTAGTCATAATCAGCAAAAGAAATAAGGAGGTTAAAAAAGGGGGGAAAAAAAAGGAATACACTCCACGAGATTAGGCCTCATCTCGTTGCCCATGATATTTCGTTCGTTAGAGCATATTATTTAATTAGTCACCTTACTTTTCACACAGTGGAGTTTTGGCCACTTAATTATTAGTAATATATTTGTATTCACTAAATTATTAAAAGTATAAATTTTGATTCATTCTGTCTAATTTTCCCGTTGATTCTGTCATATATAACTATTAATAGTATATTTTATGAATCGTGTGAACTCTTATATCTAACAAAATTAATGATAGAATCGGACGAAATAGTTTAAGCTTTATACAATTTTCAATTTTGTGAGTGAAAACGTATCATTAATAATAGTTGAATGGCCAGATCACCGTTATTCACAAAATTTAGTGGCTACTCAGATATTTTGCTCTTCTCGTTACTATAAACTTGGTGGGACCGTTGTGGTGCGACGTACCACAAGATGTATCCCTTGATGTTACTGAGTGGCGTTAGTCAATAGGATAATCTGATACAAACCCCCGCAAATAAACTTTGGTGTCGAGCGGATCACAACCTCTTACACATAAATCTAAGAATTCAAGTGAGCGATTGGACGGGTCGATACCTCATGATGGTTTATCGTGAAGTCATCACAAGAGCCACGCGCACAAAGTCTCACTCGCACCAAATCCCCACGCCATATGGCAAAAAAAAAAAAAAAAAAAAAAAAAACTAGCCTCATTCCCCACTTTTAGTTATTTGTTGCCGCTGCACTGGATAAAATCCGTACAGACTCACACCTAGGCATTTCCGTAAATATGTTAAAAGCCAGTACTCTATATATACCCAGCCCTCGTACCCCCACTATAAATCCCCAATCCATGCCTCATTTTGAAACCGTTGGTAGAGGAGGGACACTGGGAGGGGGTTGCCACAGAGAGAGAGAGAGTGAGTGTGTGTTTCTCTTGAGAGGGAAACCTAGAGGGAGAAAGAGTTAACAAGGTATAGCTCCCAAAAGTCAGTCACGGCATTCGCAGAAATTCAATCAGGATTGATAAAATTGGTCGTGGATTGGAAAGTTTTGTTGTTTTTGCAAAGAAAAAAGAAAAAAAGAAATGAGCCGTTTAGGGTTTATAAAAAGGGTGGTGGTGTATGATGGGGAGGCGTGTCTGGGAGAGCTGGATAGTGTTGCAGTGAAGGATGAGAGTTTCCAGTTCCCAAACAACGAGATACGCATTCACCACATCTCACCCAACAGCGAGCGCTGCCATCCGCTCTCTGTTCTCCAGACAATCTCTGGTTCACCTGTTCGCTGCAAACTTGAACCCCCCAGCTCAATTCCCACATCCGATCAGTCTCAGTTGATCAATCTTCACGCCTCTTGCTTCTACGAACTGAAGGTCACTCCAAGCTACTATGTCTTTCTACGTTATCTTCCACATTCATATCATCTCTACCTAATTTCCTACTTATGTTTCTGCACTGGTGAAATCTTGACTGTATCTAATGTTAGTACATGTCACATTGTTGTATTGGTCATCATTTTGGCAAAAATTATTGATGTACTGATCGTCGAGGAGAACACCAGATAATTCCATAGCCATATCTGAATTTGTGCCGCATAGGTTTCTAATTCCTGGAGGTTGTTATGCTGCTTATCACACTTTGATGTTTCCCAGTTTCATATTTCCTTTGGCCTGTGTCATGAAGAATAAGTTTGTGATTTGTCGTTTGTTTGTCAATTTGTACCAGTTATTCTATTTATCATCAATAATTTTTTGCTCATATTGTGATATGACATTCTTTGTGCGACTTTCCTTCCTTTTTTTTTTAATTTAAAGTTGTATTTATGAGGGACTTCTGTTTCTTATTTATTGCTAGTGTTGATCAAATTTTACTCGCTTTCTTGATATCTCAGACAGCAGTGGTTGTGGCTGGGAATGAAGAGGTGCATTTAGTGGC